TGGGGGGGGGGGGGGTCTGTTTCGGAAACATTTCCGAAAATAATTCGTTTTCTGTGGATGTAGATAATGTAATTGCGCACATATGAGGATAAAAATGTCAGTTCGCTGGTTGTTCGAAACTTATTAGGTTTCTTATTATTGCCTTTATAGTGTGTAACAAGATTCGTGTTATTATTTTCAATAACGTTGCAGTCTAGGGATTCTTGCGTTTCAATTAAAGGCAATTGACCTATCCATCCTTGAATTGTTGTTTTATTCGTTGGTGTAGTTGTTATATTCTTATCATGGTCGTTAGTAATTTTTTCATTAGATTGGTGATGTTTTAGTTGGAGGCATTCGCTTGTGGTTGACGGTTTTACTGTACGGATGTCATCCGGCGTGTAGTTGGTCTTGGGATGAACATAATTATTGTCGTGCTGATTTAATTTGCTGCCCACGTTAGCTTTTACATTGTGGATGTGTCATTTAACGCTTCAATTGTCTTGACTTTATTTTCGAGCGACACAATGATATTATTCAGATCGTTAACTTCATTATTTCTCCCCCTCACTAGGATTGTCATATCGGCTTCCAGTCGCTTATTTTCAGCCTCAAGTCGCTTACTTTTTTGCCTTTCGCTACGGAGGTCCCGCTTTAGTTTGGTTACTTCATCATTGTTAACTACATTTATATTAGACTCAACGTTTTTTTGCATTATGACTAAGTCTAGCTTAATCCCCTCAAGTTCTGCAGCTAGTAATCTACACTGACAGTCACAGTCACGTTTCAACACTGTATTGCAATGAGGTAAATTTGATCTCACCTGGCTAGATCTTTCAGACATGTCGCTTCCAAGTGAGTGAGTGGATATTTCGCAGGCTGTACTATCGGCTGATTTCAATGTTGATTCACCACTGTTGTCGCCCAGACTTTTCCCACCTAATGTGTCGTCTGATAAACAAACAATGACCGTCTGGTCTTTGTCGCTTCGCAGACTTCGTTCCTCCCTAGCGTCGCTATATATCGATTTTTTACCGATTTCGGTCAATATATCTGCCAATGTTGAACTTGCCTGACCATGTAGTATGAGAGTGTTTCGTTTTCCTTGAGACCAAGTAATCGTTAGGTCTAGGCTAGAGCAGGTAAATTTCTTCGAGCTGCCACCCGGTGAACTCCATTTACCGTGTAGGTTGACGACACGTTCGACAAAATGTTTTAGTGCTTCAAAGCCTCCATCCCATCTGATTTTGTTATCGTCGTAATTCAAATACGAGCACTCTTTATGGTTGAGAATTTTGTTCAGGTTCCACTCAGTTGTTAGATTATTAATAAAAAACGCGGAGCTGGCCGAATTATAACTGTCTGCCATGTTGACCTTCCTTTAGAGGTCGCGCATCGGACTTAATGTACTGTAAATCAAATTGTATGATACTTTGATACAGTAGTTCATAAAACACCTTCTAAGTTTCCACCCTATGAATTCAAAATGCGTTTTAAGCCTTCCATTTTTGTGTGCAAGCCATTTTGTTGTTTTTTTTTAAACCGTCCTACACTCGAAAATTTACGTGGTAGGGATACTAGCGACCCCAAACTACCCATGCTGGCATAAAGTTTTTACAAATATTTCGGAATTTGCGGTTAATAACCATAGATATCTTATATACACTAGATAGTGCATCTAATTATTCTGCAATTCAAAAATTGAAGCCGTGATTGCAGACTCAGGATATTCCCATGAAATGAGAAGATTGTATGTTTTCTATTTCTTAAACAGGGAACTTAAACATTAAGTTAAACATATTCCAAAAACATTTTTAAACTATTGAACTGATGAAAGTTATTGTTGTTTTTTAAGCGTTTATTAGCGAGTGGGAACTACCAACATGGCCGCCATCTATTCAAAATGGGGGTAACCGCTGGAATATTCTTGGCTTCAATTTTACTAAAAGAGATGCGCTATCTAGTGTATATAAGATATCTGTGTTAATAACATGAAGATAATCTACTTTCTAGTGATATATTTACATGCCTAGATATTACTACATGATATGTGCAGTGGTGGTCACTTCATAAAATGTTGGGGGAGGGGACGCGTATTATAAATATAACAAATAGGAAGATGTAATGCTCGTCTATTCCTTCCTCAGGTAGAAACCCTGGTATGGCAGACGACGCTCCGTCAGAATATCAAAGTAAAGTATACTAAAAGAGAATATATTTTCTATGTAAAATTCTGGTCAAACCAGAGATTGATCAATGTTGATACAGTTTTTTCCTAGCCGTCAGTAAAACTCTTAACTTGAATACTAATATAATACACCCTTTTGGAAAGTACGTTATCTTAGCTATAGAACCAGTGAACTCTAAGGGAACTGGAACGATAACTTGGCCGCCATCTTTGAAGCCACTCATGATGGCCGCCATGTACGTACATGGAGTGGAAAATACGCCACCGAAAAGGCATCTGTTTTTGAGCACTAAATAGCTGTATTTCAACAAGGAAAAAAGCTAAAAACTTTCAACAATACCT